CCCCAAAACCCCAAAACCCCAAAACCCCTATTGCTAATATAATATTGAAAATGAATGTAGAACTCAAGATGAAAGACCAAACTTTTAATACAGTAGAGCGGGCAAAAAATCTTTCCAAGCTAGAACAATCTGACATGTATGGCGGTTTTGGGTGGCTCAGTTGACCTGTTTTGTATAGGAAGCGTAATTTCTCAAATTTTGAGGAGAGAAAGGTGATACCAAGGATCAACCACTTTTCTCCTGAAGAGAGGAAATAAAATATTTCTAAGTCCTGTTAATACAAGCTATTTTCCAATTAAGTAAGAGATGAGCAAATAGTGATGTATAGTACTAGTAGTTACAGTAAGATTGGGACAAGCTTTTCAGACAGAAGAATACAAAAGCAAAGAATAAATCCGGCTACTGTAATCCAGAAAGCACTAAGAAAGCTGAAATTAAAGCGTAAAGGGATGGAACAATTATTTTCACCCCTCCGGACTATGGAGAAGTCTCAATATAATAGAATTAAAAAGATTTTATCAGGCAGCATTCCTAAAAGAAAGAAAAAGCTGCGCCAATTGATGAACAATTCAAATATTTCTGGCCTGGTCAATAATAAAACTCTGAAGTGTGCGATGTTTCAAGGGAGGAATTTTAAAATGTTTCAAAACAAGTAAGAATGATTTCAGAGTTATTCTGGTGGTTTTAGCTCTTGCTTAAAAACCATAATACAGATCATTGTTATAGGCAGAAGTATTTGACAATTTCTTCTAGCTTATTGCAAAAATTTGTAAACCTGACTCTGCTAGTTATCTATCTGTGGTTCTAAGGACCTTATAACATATTTTCAGATAAATATATCAGTCTTGAAATTATGGAAGACTCTGGTCAATAAAATGGTGAATAGTTATGAATTTATAATAGAATTATGAAAATTTAATTTTTCATGATAAAATTTAACATCTTTATAGACTTAATAAAAATAAAAAGTTTCAAGTTTGCAGAAGAGGACTCAAAAGTCCTCAACCAACTGGTAGGTGCTTTGTAAAGATCTTATCCTTCTGGTTTTTGTTTGAATATGGAGATTATTTTAGACATAACTTATTTTAGCCTCACAAAAATTGAACTTGACTGATATACATAAAGTTAAGAAAATAAGAACTAAATTCAAGAAAAATATTGCTCCTTCTATTGCCAAAGATGAGTCTCCAACGAAAAGGATGGAGGCCAAAGATAGGAAGATCATAGTATCTGGTCTCATTAAACAAAACACTCTTAAATTCAAGGTATCTCTTCACTACTATTTCTCATTAATATCGATTAATTTAACTTCATGTGCTAAGTCTCTCTTAAAATTATCCATAGGCTCTTGCGAATAAAACCCTCAAAACGCTCCAAAACCCTAGAAAAGCAAGCGAAATCTCAAATTTTCCCCGACCCCACACCTTTGATATTGTAAGTCACCATTTTCTTCTGTACTTTCTTAATGAGTGTTCATAGGATGAAGAGAGCCCGACCAAGAAACCTACTTTGGAAGTTCAGCCTAAAAAGTCTGGCTATTTAGATCCCAGTGAGCCAGTAGGAATCAGAGCGATTACTGTTGGGAAATTAGGTGACAGTGGTAGGCAAAAGTAAGGATTTTGGAGGAATTTTAGGCATGGACTTAAGAACAAATATATTATGAAACAGTACGAAAAAGCGAAGGAGGAAGATAGGAACGAGACTGAGAGCTCGATGAGCGTAAAGAGTAAAGACCAGAATAAGACTATGACTTTGAGAGATGCGAGGAAAGGATCGAGTTTTTTGTTTTTAAAAGCAAGGCAAGAGGGTTAGGATTAAGGATATTTGGGATTATAGAAGCCTTCTTGTCTTACATATTGGTTTAATGGAGTAGTTGTTCTAATTCAATAATTTTATACTTAAGAGGGGTTTTGGGGTTTTGGGGTTTTGGGGTTTTGGGG